ACAGAATACAATAATCAATGTAGTACTGAGGCTTATATAACAAAATGACAGCATCAATACACATCCTTTCAGCGACAGTGCACTGAAAGTGATGTGACTTATTAGGGAATTTAATGCAACGTTGAAGCAATGACAAGACCAGGTCACTGAAAACTAAACCCTATCTCAAGCCTTAATATAATACAGTACACAACTAATTGATGCCATTGTTGCCAACATGATAGCTATATATAGTTAGCACATGAAACATTCTGTTTGATTTACGGAGACTTTTAAATAAAGATTTTTCAAGTTATTTTCATTTAGGACACAAAATCCAAGTTCTACATCCTTACCTGAAAGTGTCTTGCTTGTTACTAGTTGTGATATTTATTTTAACAGATGTTTACAATAAATATTCCTTCACTTTTTCTAATTTGTTGCAATCATGTTGCTACATTAGTCACCAACTTTTATTTTTAAACATGGAAAGACTTCAAAAGGCAATGTTACCTCACTTCTTAGATTACTCCTGAAGTCCATTCAGTTGTCAGCAGATTTTAAATGTCATAGTATGATTTGATTGTAATTTCACTGACTTATTTCTGAGAAATAAGGTCTCCAGTAGAAAATAGCAATATATACTGTTTATGATACATAGTGCAAAATGCTCACATCAAAAATATCTAATGTTGAGATAAATTAACTGGTTATGAATACAAGTGGTACAAAAACAAAAATGTCCATGTTTCTACCTAGAAAGTTGATATAATCCATTATATGTACATCTCACCCAATCAGCATGATTCTGGCTCGATCTTCTTGAGAACCTTTAACAGCAACAATGTTGGTGAGATACACAGAGAAGTCTTTTCATCCAGGAGACAAGGAACGCATCTCCTATGAATTAGGGATCGAGACCTCCCTCTGTAGCAATACCCGATGCATTTCTACATTGGCTGGTGAGGCAAACAAATCAACCTTCAGGACCAACCCCAAGATAAGAATATCTTGTGAAGGACTCTGAAGTTCAGTTCCCATTTGTAACTTAGTGGAAAAAAATTGTCTTCTGAAGTTGCCTGCCATGATGTTCTGAATGTGTGTGCGGCAAGAAGCTGAGATGACTTTGTGGTTAGCTATACACCAACTCCAGAATTTTATTGCTTTGGCACAGAGAAATGATGAATGTGTGCCTCCCTGACAGTTGATATAATACTTGCATGCCACATAGTAAATATAGTGACAGAGTCTTCTATTCGATTAGCAGTAGAAAGTGTAGATAAGGATTTTGGACAGTTCTCAATTTCAAAAGATTGATGTGGAGACGCTGCTCTTATAGTGAGTATTTTCCCTGTATCTTGGGAGGTCCCAGATGTAAAAGTGGAACATCTGATGTTATCACTACAGTATGGGGAAACTGCAAAAATGGAACACTTGTGAAAGTTTGGTCATGCAAACTAGCATGCTGCACTACAAAGATGCAAGCTGATGTGTCCTAGCAGTTGAAGACAATATCTTACTGTTACTTGAGGACTGCCCTGAATCTCTGAGATGAGATTCTCTGGTGAGAAAAATCTGCTGGATGGTACGCTTTGCCTGTTACAGCATCCAGGGAAGATCCTATGACATCTAGATGCTGTACTAGAGTCAAAACCGACTTTGAGATTGATTTGAAGTCCAAGGCTGTGAAACAAAGAACACATGATCTTTACTGACATTAACACTTCCTGATACAATCTGTCCCTGAGCAACCAATCATCTATGAATGGAAAAACAATTATACCCAATGTGTGAGAGTGACAACTACTGCCAGAATCTTTGAAAATACCCTCAGTGCTGAAGACAGGCTGAAAGGGAGCACACCGTATTGGGAGTGCTTGTTTATTAGAAAACGAAGAAAACTTTTATGTGAAGGGTGACTAGTGACATGAAAGTGTGCCTTGTAGGTCAAGAGTTGCGAACCAACTTCTAATGAAGGAATTATTGCTGCAAGGTTTACAATTCTAAATTTCTGTTGCTTTACATATTTGTTTAGAGCGCTGAGGTCTAAAACTGGCCTTTTATCAGTAAATACTCTCCTTCCCATGCTGCACAGGAAATGGTTCTATTGCTCCTAAATTTGGAAGAGAGGTCACCTCTTGCTCTAGCTATCGATTGTCAGAGGGTCCTGAAGAGGGACAAGGAGGGGGAATGTATAGGAGGAATAGATTTGAAATGGATAGCGTTACCAGATGTTATGGCTTCCAAAACTCATTTGTCTAATGTTATATGCTCCCATGCATCCTGAAAATGGGAGAGGTGGCATCCAAAAGGAGGGAGAAGGGCAAGATGTTGCACTTGTAAGACTTTGTTGGTTGGATAGTTGAGACTCTCAACCAGGGGTTTCCAAACTGTGGTATGCGTACCCTTGGGGGTACACAAGACATCTCTGGGGGGATGAGGAAGAAATTGTGTAACGGTGGATTTATTATATTTTCATAATACGCTACTCAGATGAAGCTTTAAAACTAGGTGGAAATTTGTTATATAAAATACAGTACTTAATTTGCAATGAACACGGATATACAGAGACACGGATGTACAGAGCCCTCACCTCCAATCACTGTACAGCATGGGTTCAGTTGCTTAGGAAATGTCCAGTCTAACTGAGCTCAGAACTTGGGGGGAGGAGGGGGCGGTTTCGTTGTATACGTCCTACTATAACTATATCTGTACATAACAGTGAAATATGGACTGATGGCTAAAGACCGATAGCGTTAAGAAGAAAACACAAAGTATCAGTGATGAGAAGGGTAGGGGTATATGGGAAGCTGGTAGATCTAGAAGAGGGTATGCAATAAGAAAAGTTTGGGAACCTCTGCTCTAGACCAAGCCATCAAAACTAGAATAGGTAGGGGAACCCCACACTGAAATTTGAGAGTCTAATGAGTTCTCGTCCACATTCTCTAAGGGGGGAGATAGCTGTTTGGCTTACAGATTAGATGAGGGCAAGTGTGGTGCTCTATGTGACAGAGGGATCAGTGTCCGAGAGAGTCTTGACACTGAAAAACCCTCAGCCCTAGTTAACAGATGATACTCCAGCTCGGAAGATATTATCAGATCCTTAGGGTATCTAAACTCTTGAAGTACCGATAGTATCAAAGATTGGACTGAGTGGGAACGTGTGGAGGATAGCTTCGGTATCGATGCAGCTGGTACCGAGCACTTGATATGGGATTCCCTCAATACTGTAGGTAGGTGAGCAGTCTTTGGTACCATTGACTTTCTTGTTATCAGTACAGAGTGTTATTCAGTGATGGGCTTGGTCTGTTCAACCCGGTCTCTGCCACTCTGCATACAGGTATTCACACTCAGTACCGAATGTGTCTTAGATAACTGACTCCTCTTCACCTCTGTGGTACCAGCCTCACTCAGAGCCTTGGGACCAGAGGTTCCATAGACTTCTTGTGAAACTGTGACCGAGAGCTTCTTGGAGATTTACTCCTTACCTCCTTCTGCTTAGAGGAGGGTGACCAGACAGCAAATGTGAAAAATCGGGACGGGGGGGGGTAATATGAGCCTATATAAGAAAAAGACCCAAAAATCGGGACTGTCCCTATAAAATCGGGACATCTGGTCACCCTAGCTTAGAGGCAGATATAGATGAGGACTTTGGTTCCGTAGATCAGTTGCTCTTAACTTTTCCAGATTACCTTACACTTTTCAGGAGTCTGATTTCACGTCACTTAAAAACTACTTGCTTACAGAATTAGACATAAAAATACAGAAGCGTCACAGCACACTATTACTGAAAAATTGCTTATGGTCTCATTTTTTACCATATAATTATAAAATACATCAATTGGAATATAAATATTGTACTTACATTTAGTGTATAGCATATACAGCAATATAAACAGGTCACGGTCTATATAAAATTTTAATTTGTACTGACTTTACTAGTGTTTTTTATGTAGCCTGCTGTAAAAATAGGCAAATATCTCGACGAGTTGATGTACCCCTGGGAAGACGTATGCATACCCCTGACTGAGAACCACCTCTGTAGATGTACTTGCTGCTGTAGTACTGCCTACCTCTCTACCAGTCTGCGGTGACCGATATGTCGATGTAGACAGGGCACTAGCTACACCGGGAAGTCTATGTGGAGGGGATACAAAGATGGACATAAATCTTGCTCCATCATTAGGAGATTAAACTTAATTTCTCTATTTGGGGTGTGGGGGGAGATCTACCCTTGAAGAAAGTGCAGATCTTGCATTTACAGGGCATATGCATATCACCGAGACAGCAGAGGTGCTAGGAGTGTCCCTCACTTATCGGAATAGTCTCCTGACAGAGAGGCACCTCTTGAATCCTGAGAACCTTGGCACTCCCGAACAAATAAAAATGTAAGCCTAGAAGGGGAAATCTCTTAACTACATAAATAGCTCTATGAACAAAAAGGTGTTTTTTAAGAAAAGGAGAAACAAAAGGAAAATTGTTCCAACAATTATAATACTGTAAGGTAGAGAAAAAGCTAAATATTAGAGAACAGACACACAGCAGACTATCTTGGGCCAAAGGCAGCTGAGAAGAAACTGAGGATGGTTTGCCTGTGCAGCCCCATATATCCTAGGAAAGGGGCACAAAAGTGTGGGCTGCATGCATGGGCTGAATGAGCACAGCTACAAAAAATCTCCAAAGACACAGGGCGCATGCGCACCTGAAGTGGAACACCCACAGGGCGCTACTTGAAGAAGACTTTGCTCCCAAGTATAATGCTCAGTGAATGCAGCAAGCCATGTGGTACCTTTTAGGATTTCACAGATCAAGACACTTCAAAAACATACCCTGAAAGCCCTCCATAAAGCTGGTATAGTATGTCAGCATGTCATCTAGTACGGAGACATTCCCACAAGAATACAAAGTCTAATTCATTTAAAACAATATCTGAACAGAGATTACTCCCTCACTGAACCTGTCACTAGATACCTTAAATAACCTTGGAAACTTGCAGACAGATGAACTCCTTGCTCCCTCACCTTAGGTGTGCTGCCCCAATGGAGCTGTAGAAAAAACAGAAATAGAGCACCTCGTATTGTGATTGTTGCCCATAAAAAGTGCACTACTCCCCATATGTAGCCATGTTCTAGATTTAAAAACATACATTTCAACATGAGCCCCTATACCAGAAACTCAGAATTAGATATTATCTTTCTTCAGTCCTATGGTCAACATGGTGGTGCATAAGTAGACACATATCCAAGGTATAAAAATTGTTGGTAGCAACATCTGTAGTTAATATTGCCCAACAATTTCTACAGTAAGCAATTTTTCTAAGTTTTATAAAACTTTGCCAAATTTTAACAATTTGTACTGAAGTTTTCCCATGCTTGTTCTCTAAAAGAAAAAAATAAATTCAGCTGAAGGTAGGAAGTGTCTGCAGAAAAAACAATTCAGAAGGTTCTTCTGACAAAGAGATGTAGTTGGGTGTTCTGTCTAAACCTTATCGCCTTCTCATCCAGAGGAATAGATAGAAACTAATTACCAACTCCTAACATTCCTCTGCTGTCTAGTAAGTAGTTTTGAAAGCCACTTGCAAAACATTGCACTCCCCTCTACTGGTTGGTCCATGTAGAGGATAACAACCTACTACTGTGGCCATTTACTCCATTCAAGAAGTAGAGGTCTGTGGTATAGGTCTAGAAGTTCTGGTTTATAATCTTATTGATGACCCATGCAATGGATCAATATTGTTTCACATGATGTCATTTGTTTTCTCAGGGCTGGTCCACACTAAGCCCCCAGTTCGAACTAAGATATCCAACTTCAGCTACGTGAATAACGTAGCTGAAGTCGAAATATCTTAGTTCGAACTTAAAGGTACTTACTGCGGGTATACACACGGCAGACAGGCTCCCCCGTCGACTCCGCCTACTCCTCTCGCAGAGCAGGATTACCGGCGTCGACGGCGAGCACTTCCGGGATCGATTTATCGCGTCTAGACAAGATACGATAAATCGATCCCGGAAGTGCTCGCCGTCG